ATCAACTGAAACCATTTTGACATTTAAGGCCCATGTGACATTGACCTTTGACCTAATGACCCCTAAATCAATAGAGGCCATCTTCTACTTATGACAAATGACTAGGTGAAATATGAAGACTTTTTAAGAAAATCAGTGGAAAACCTTTTGACATTGATGGCCCCTGTGACCTTGACCTTTGACCTAGTGACCCCAAAATCAATAGAGGTCATCTACTAGTTATGACAAATCACAATGTGAAATATGAAGACTTTGTCATGAATACTTTTCAAGATAATCAGCAGAAACCATTTTGACATTTAAGGCCCCTTTGACCTTGAGCTTTGACCTAGTGACCCCAAAATCAATAGGGGTCATCTACTACTTTTGACCAATCACTATGTGAAATATGAAGACTTTGTGATGAATACTTTTCAAGATAATCAGCGGAAACCATTTTGACATTTTAAGGTCGCTGTGACCTAGACCTTTGATCTAATGACCCTTTAATCAATAGGGGTCATCTACTTCTTATGACCAATCACTATGAGACATATGTAGACTTTGTGATAGATACTTCTCAAGATAATCAGCGGAAACCATTTTGACATTTAAGGCCCCTGTGACCTTGACCTTTGACCTAGTGATCCCAAAAAAAATAAACAAAGGGGAATAATTAAAAAATTAAGCAAGGCAGAGTTACGATTCTTGTGCACTGCACACCTAATCAATGAGATCTATCTACCTACAAAGTTTCATGTTGATACCTCTTGTGGTTTCAAAGTTATGTCCCGGAAAAGAAAAGCACGGACGGACGGAAAGACGGACGAACGGACAAGGCGGCAACTATATGCTCCGGGGAGCATAAAAAGTATTGGTCTGAGAGAAAATTGTTCGTAACTGTAGACTGGGAACAAAAATATTGAGTACAAAACTGCAGGTGAAAACATGTTTTTTTTGTTCCAACAACAAAAGTGAAAGAAATTCAAATATATTTGTTTATATTACGGCATAAGCATGTCAATAGATGCCTTAACAAACTTAATTCTATGTTAACTCCTAGGATGATTATCTGGCACAAATTTTATCAATTATTTCACAGGTTGATCTACTGGAGTTACCTCCTTTCTGTACTTCCTGCTACTTTCATTTTTAACATGCGTTGTTGACAACAGAATTTGTAGTTTTCAATGCAATAAAATGGAAATATATTTTTTTTTATGCTCAAAACATCCTCTTTCTAAATATCAAATGTTTACACTTCTATTCTTTCAAGCTTTTATTTTGACATACAAGTGTATTTTCATTTTGATGAGCGTAACTTTGACACACAAATTTTGAAAGTGATGCATATTTTAGATTTTCTATACGTATTTCACACTGATACGCATGCTATCTGGAGCTCCGTGATAAGGAACATATATTTGAAGTTGATACCTTAAGAAATGAAAAAGTTATAGTGAAAAATATTTTACTGCACCAAAACTTTAATCTGAAATCTGGATGTGGACGCCGATGCCAGGGCAGTTCGACAGCTCTCCATATACTTCATACAGTTGAGCTCAAAAGTATATGTATTAAGCCAATTTATTTTTGTTTAAAGTGATTGTCATGGAAACAATGTTTCAAATAAGTCTTATTTTCCAAATTGTGACATACAAGGCGGAAAGTCAGATGCAGTTAAAGACCTAAGGATGGTCATGGCAGCAACTTTATGCTTACCCTATAGTGAGCATAATATTTCCAGTAAACCTCAGTACAGTCTTATTTACTGTTCTAGGTGACAGCCATTTTTATAAATCTCACAGTCAATATACAATGTTTTTCAACTTAAGAGGAAAATGGAATAAATTTTTATGCAGAGACATCATGTCTAATGAAATTTATAAAAAAATCAATGACGTTCAGTAGTTTGCTACGACTTTGTTTTCCTTGGTCTTTAAGTAAAAGAAATTTACCTTTGTAACAAATTGTGACATTTAATCAACTTTACAGCATGTGGCTCCTTTTTCATCATACTTATGTTAATAATATATAGTTTTGATGAATCAAAATATACATTGTAAATATGGAAATGTGTGAAGAATAAGATATCTCATAAGGAGTTATAAATTAAGTATCATAATTTATATTTTAAATAACCATGTCAAAGTAAAGAATGTAAGTTATTGAACATTGTCTTGGTATTATACTAATTTTACATTGCATCTGATTACTTAAAGTGGAGAAAAGCAACTGTATTATAAAAAAAATAATATATGAGTTTAGATGCTTTTATCATGTAAAAACTGTTTCAAGTTTAATATATACTCGTTGCATCTATTTCCGCATTACATCCGGTTCCGCGTTATTTTCATTTTTCGTAATTTTCACTTGAAGCGCCACCTGTATGAAAACAAACGTGACCTAGTTTTCGCTGGGACAGATATATTTGTCAAATACTGCAGAATGAACCGCTTTCTGGTATGTTATATGTTAAAATGTATAAGATTAATACAAAATAATGATGATTTAAACAAAAATACAAATGTTTTATATGCATTTACCATGAAATATCTTATTGAATTTGCGTGCCGTCTGCTGTCAAAATTTGTTGACCATTAGTTTTTAAAAACCTCCACCATACCATAGTCAGTAAAGGTTACAAAACACTAAATTTTTTTCTTCCTCAGGGTACTGGTGTTCATGGTACAAGTGGTAGGAAACCTTATGATAGAGGAAATTTGAAATTGGCCTATGAAGCTACCTTGTCTGGCATGTCTGTCTATAGGGCTTGTCGCATGTATGGTGTGCCAGAATCTACATTAAGGACCGCACCAGACACATTGTGTCAGTTAATTGTAAAGTAGGGCCAGAAACTTTGTTTACAGACATAGAAGAGGATAAGCTGGTTCATGCACATCAAACATATGGCCAATGTGGGTTATTGGGTAATACCATGACAAACATTAGTTCTTTGCAGCTGACTATGCACGTTCTTTGGGTAAAGATGTAAAATTAAGGATTCTTTGAGCACCATATGGTTTTATGGCCTTTCTTAAAACGACACCCAGACCTGAAAATTGTGCAACCACAAAAGCTTGAAATTTCTAGAGCAAAAAGGGGCTTCACAAGAAAGAATAGAAAACTACTTTCGTGAGCTGCAAGACATCCTTACTGAAAATGACCTTCTTGATAAGCCTGAACGTATATTTAATATTGATGAAACTGGTATAAGCAGCCACACAACACACTCCACCCAAAAATTGTTTGTGATAAAGAAATCTAAACCCCAGTCAGTAACATCTCCAAGATCATCAAATGTAACCATTATAGGTGGAGCCAAATGCACTAGGCAACTTTGTTCCTCCCGTACTATATTTTTCCGGGTAGAGATGGAATCCCGAGTTCATCAAAAAGATGCACCTCATGGAAATCTGGAGGTGAAATGTCCAGACAGTGGATGGGTGAATTTCTGGTCTATTTGAAAAAGTATGTCACAGAACATCTGAGCAAGCATTTCTCTCATGCTTCAAATGCAGAAGACAAGCCTCCAACCTTTGATTTTTGTTATGATCGGGCATAAGTCTCATCTATCATTAACACTTACAGAGTGGGGCAAAGAAATCAAATGTGCTTTTGTTTGTATTACCACCACATACTAGCCATCTCACTCAACCCTTAGATGTTGGTGTATTTGGGCCTTTTAAGAAATTTTTTATTATTCTGAATGCAAGCAGTACCTTCAGAAGAACCCAGGAGCTTACATTACCAAATACGAAATTGCTAAGTTGAACTGGAAACTCCTACCTGAAGGCATTTTCCCCATCAAATGTCACTGCTGCATTCAAGAAATCAGGTATTTTTCCTTTTGATGATACATGTATATCTATAAAGGATACTGCACCATCATCTATATATCCAGTTGAGAAAGCTGTAGAGTCATCCATTTCTGATGCATGTGAAAATGTTCCATGCCAACAGGAAGCTTCACATGAAGATCGCAAGTCTCATGAGCCACAATCTATTGAACATGTATCTACTTTCTTTGAGAGCAGAACAATTACATCTGTGCAAGTGAAGCAGAGGCCAAATAGAAAATTTGTTCCTCCCTTTGTATGTGGCAATTTGTTAAATAGTAAAAATACAGCCATTCTTGAAAATAAAGTCAAATCAAATACATGTACAAGCAAGTCAGCCTCCAAAAGTGTTAACAACCAAGAAATCTGTGCCAAACAAAGCAAAGTCAATACTTCCAAATCACCTGTAAATCATACAAATCCAAGTACATTGGTAAATATCTAAATCTGGAGGACCAATCTGTTCTCACTACACCATCCCATCTCTGAAAGCAGTGACAGTGACATTGGTGATTCAGATGAAGACAAGTGTTGTGTAAATGCAATTTATGGTTCCCAGCTGATTTAAAAGGATGCACAAATAATTGTTTTTGGTAAAAATGGGGAAGTGTGATTATTGTCCTCACTGGGTGCACTTGAAATTTTGCACTGAAGTGAAAGTGCTCAGGAGGGCAAACTGTCTTTAGATGCCCCCATTGTGTGCAAAAGAGGAGTAATAAAAACAAAAAAAATAACAGTAGTGTATGAATGTTTGTGTAAATGAACATGTTATTTGTTGATGTTTTACAGAAGTTTTTTTGTTATAACTGTGTGGTGGCTGAACTTGTTTAACATTTTTGAACATTTAGTGTTTTGACCGTTTTTTAAATTTATTCAAGACAGTATATGGTATAGACTTTTATACCGCGGAACCAGATTTACTTCCCTTCAGTAATGTGGTCGGCGCTATCACGTGACCTAAATAATGCCGATAATAATAAAAACTTAAACATTTGATGTATATTCTTTATGCTGCTCCTTTAATGAAAGATTGGTAGATGTATTGAACAAAAAAGAAAAACAAAGGTAAGTGGCATTTATATTATAGTTTATTTACGACGTTTTTCGCTTAGTAAGCCCCTTGGAAGGTGGATTGTAGCGCGGAAATAGATTTGGGCAAACAGGGTTGTTTGAAATCTAACATTACTTGCAAACAGGCGTATGGACATTTGGCTTATGCCTGCATGATTGTGTGTCTGAAACTAAACCAACACAGTCTTTCCCATCAGTTGATGGCGCTGGGTTATCACAACTTCTTGATCTAGTCTGGGAACCACCGCTGTCACCACAAGTTGGAGAACAAGCTGACCATGGTGTCCAATTTCCCCACATACCATTTACTGGTAATGATGGATATTTTTTTCATAAATTAATGTAGTAACATTTCAAAGTTTAATACAATAATTTATAAAATCTATTGTAACAAAACATATTTGTGACACATGTATACCCGCCTAATGGCAACAAATCTGTTAAATAACAAATAATGATGATTTTAAGTCAGTTTTAATTGTAAAGGTCAACATGACATTTGACCCAATGACCTAGGATAACTAGAGTGATCTGCAGGTTATGACCAACACCACTTGAAAATCAGAACAATGTAAGCTTAAACATTCTTTAGTAAATGATCCTGGAGTGGTCAACGTCCCAGAACATATTAAATACTTTGACATTTTACCAACTTATCTCAAAATCTATAGGTTTCATATACATGTCATTATCACCTTCCTAGTCAATTAACACTCTTTTAATTTAAAGTCAATGTGACTTTGGACTTTCAGTTACTTAACTTGTGTAACCTCAAGGTCATTATCAACCTTTGTAACCAATATGAAGACTATAATTATGGGTTATCTGGTTATTGATAAAACAAGCTATTAGAGGTGAATTGCATAATTACATTGACCTTTGACCTAATAACCTTAAAACAATTAGGTGCATCTACAGAGTACAGAGTTGACAATGATGCAGCAAGACTAGCACACTGCACTTTTGTCAGTGCTGGATAGTTAAAAAAACACAGGAAGGGGGCATAATTATGCAAAAGACAGATTTATCTGCCATTAAAGTTTTAAATGAAAATCTTAAGCAGTAGATGAATATATTAAGTTGCATGTAAAGTCATTACCAATGATGATGACAAATGAGTTTGATAGCCCCTTTTAATATTCAACTATGAAATTCAAGTAACTTACCTGGGCAAATTCCATTTGAACATGATTCAGTTTGTATGGCATCTCCAGTGCAACTATCAGCAACAGAACATGTCCTTGTTTTAGTTCTTGTCCCACTACCACATGTAACATCACAGTTTCCCCAAACTGACCAGTTATACCATATACCTGAAAAAAAAAACAATATTAAAACATAGTGTAATTGCTTGTTAAACTTTTAGTAGAGGTCAGGAAAATGCTTGAATGATCAAGTACCTTGTTATTAGTTTCATTATGTACTCAATTTTAGTCATTGTAAAAATTGTGCAGAAAAAAAGCCCTTTTGTTTGAATTGTTCTTTTCTCCCATTTTTGTTATTTTGCTTTGGGTTCAACTACAAAGTAACAAATAAAGAAAAATTACCCAATCTTTAAAAATTCAAATGCAGGAACAAAATAGATCTCCTTCACCTGGATCTCTAAAAATTGGTATTTAATTGTTCTCAGTCTGTATGATGATCATAGGTAATAATAACTAACATGACTTTTCAATATTTTCTAAAATTATGCTTCTTATTTTTAAAGAAAGATACAATGCCGTAACTTAACACCTAACAGTCTTGTTTGTTCTAAATATTTTCTACCATGTTGTTTTCATTTTGCTTTAAAATTTGCTTAAAACAATTTTCATACTGACATAGTTCCATATTAGTTAAAAGTATTTTATTCAATAACATCCCTTATCTTTCAAAAAAGAAAATCCCTTATCTTTCAAAAAAGAAAATTTGTGTTATCATAGAAACATAACAACAAGAGGGCCATGATAGCCCTGAGTTGCTCACCAGAAGCAACTGCTTTTCAGTGTTGGAAATTATCCATTGTCAATATTTTCTAATATTTAAGCACAGAATATGTTTAAACAATAATTTGAAGAAATGCTATGACCTGGGGCAATTAAGCGTAAGTTAAAATGGGGCCAATTAAATTAATATGAGCAGACTTGATAAAAGACTACCTAAGAATGTTACAAAGTTTGGTGATCATCAATTATTCTATCAATTATTTCAAAGGATTTTCTATTTTTAAGTCTAGGACCCCTAAAAGGGGCAAACTTGATAATTATAAGACTTCCTAAGAATGCTACAGACAAAGTTTGGTGATCATCCATCAATTAGTTCTGTAGAAGAAGATGTCTAAAGGTTTTTCTATTTTTAGCCCTAGAGACCCCTAAAAAGGGGCCAGTCAAATTAATTTAAGCAAACTTGTTATAAGACTACCTAAAGAAATCGCTACAGACAAAGTTTGGTGAAATCATCCATTCAATTAAAGTTCTGTAGAAATAGACGTTTAAAAATATTTATATTTTTAGGCTTTAGTGCCCTAAAAAAAAGGCCAATCAAATAAATAATGAGCAAATTGATAAAAGGACTACTCTAAGAAGGCTACAGACAAAGTTTGGTGATCATCCATTAATTAGTTTCTGTAGAAAGAAGATGTCTAAAATTTTAGGTTTTTCTATTTTTTAAGCTTCTAAAGATTCCCTAAAAGGGGCCAAGCAAATTAATATGAGCAGACTTGATAAAAGAAATACCAAGGAATGCCTACTGACAAAGTTTGGTGATCATTTCCATCAATCAGTTTCTGTGGTAGATGGCTTTAAAGGTTTTTCTATTTTAAGGATCTGTAGACCCCTAAAAGGGCTAATTGAAATGAAAATGATAACAAATTTAAGTAAGACTGTAGCAATTCCTTGCGACAGTCTACTTTAAAAAATTTGCTCATTTCAATAGACCAAATTTGAGGTAAATCTGTTCCAGCAAGCATTCCCCTTTGATCATGGTTAATTAAAAATTCTTTGAACAATTTTTTTAAGAGGTGACCACCCCAAAGGAAACATTCCTGTGAAGTTTGGATGAAATTGGCTTAGTGGTTTATGAAAGGAGAATGTCATTTGGAAAAAGCAAAAGGTTTACGGACGGACGGACGACAGAAAAAAAAAAGCGATAAAAAGCTCACCCTGTTTTTTGTGAACAGCTGAAGGCTAAAAACACCTTTTTAAGGGCCCATAAACTCAGCCAAAAATCATTCAACCGGAAAAACCCCTGCAATATTGCGCAAGGACTTGAGCTACAGATCAATCCTGTAAAGTTTTCATTGAAATTGCATTAGCTGGTATAAGAGAAGTAGTCCGGACAAACTTTAAATTTAAAAATTATTTAAAGGGCCATAACTCTGACAAAAATCATTGAACCGGAAAATGCTGAACAATATGCACAACTAGACTTGGTACTGGATCATTCCTGTAAAGTTTGGAATGAAATTGGCACCAGTAGTTTATCGAGAAAGTAGTCCGGACAAGTTTTGTGACGGACGGACGGACAGACGGAAGTTCTAACAGGACAGTAATTACATGGCTACTCTATTGTTCTCTCTATTGTTCTTTTTAGCCACACAAAAGAAAATAGCCACATAAAAGCATTACGGAATGAATGACATCAAAGAGAAAGAACAGTTACCTATTGTCCCTCTAGCCACATAATTACTCTCCTGTGAGTGCGGACGGACAGACAGACGACAGAGAAGTGATCCCTATATGTCGCCACTACTCCGTAGAGGCGACACAAAAATGATAATAAAAAAATTTCCCAATGACCATTAAGGTATTACCACCCTTATGGGCACTATAAGGAACTATAAAATTGAAATCATAGGTCAGATATATACCTTAAAGTAGACCTGTATGCAAAATTTAAACAAAGTTTACCATACAGAAATCAAGTTATGGCCACTTTTCTGAACTCAAGCTAGGATGTTATGTACGCCCTTTTTAGAAATGAGAAACCTTTAAATAATCTGCAATAACATTCTAATGAAAAATGTTTTCCCATTAATTTTTGGGAAGAAACAAAATGTACCATTCAGCTAACAATCACCATAAGCAAAATTATGGTTTCTACTTAAAACTTATTAAATCTGTATAAAAAAGTTACCCTTCCCCACCCATTTTTACAACGTGTCTGACCATTTTTCTACTTAGGGAGCCTAATTTATAAAATTCTAAAAATTTACCCAAATGAGTGCCTGTTTTCAAAGTTTCCCTAAATTTTTAAAGAAGTATATAATGGTTGATCTTGTAAAATATGAAATACTTTTACCATATTACACTTTGAAAATATCAGGTACCATATTTATTACTAGATTTAGCATAATTTAGCCAATAAATACCCATATAAATTAAAAAATCAAAATTAAACACTTTTTTCTTTCCAAATGGGACATCAGAGATACATAAATAATGTTAAAAGAAAAAAAGAATGAAAAAAAAGGTTGACCCTTCTGGGGATTGAACCCACGGCCCTCATTTTCAATGTAGTTAACAGTAGTTCTAGCCTATTTGAATACTCTTCAAAGCGGAGGTAATGCATTAGGATGGTAATACCTTTATGTCGAAAATTTAACTAAGTCAGTCAACAGGATGTGGATGAGCAACAGACCTGAAATCTAATCCCACTGTATGGGACCACGTGTCAATGCTGTATGCCAAATATCAAGAGACTGTGATAAGTAGTTGCTGAGAAAAATGTTACGAAAATTTCCTACCATATTGACCATTAATGTTGAAAATTTAACTAAGTCAGTAAACAGGAAGTGGATGAGCAACCGAGACCTGAAATTGAACCCCACAGTATGGGACTACATATCAATGCTGTATGCAAGATATCAAAAGGCTGTGATAAGTTATTACTGAAAAAAATGTTACTAACATTTCCTACCATTGACCATTAATGTCCAAAATTTTACAAAGTCGATAAACAGGAAGTGGAAGAGCGACAGACCTGAAATCGTATCCCACGGTATGGGACCACATGTCAATGCTGTATGCCAAATATCAAGAGGCTGTGATAAGTAGTTCAATGAGAAAACTGTTACGAAAATTTCCTAGACCATTGACATTTAATGTTGAAAATTTAACTAAGTCCATAAACAGGAAAAGGAAGAGCGACAGACCTGAAATCAAATCCCATGGTATGGGACCATGTGTCAATACTGAATGCCAAATATTAAGAGGCTGTGATAAGTAGTTACTGAGAAAAATGTTACGAAAATTTCCTACCACTAATGTTGAAAATTTAACTAAGTCTATTAGCAGGAAGTTGATGAGCGACAGATCTGAAATCAAATCCCACGGTATGGGACCATGTCTCAATGCTGTATGCTAAATATCAAGGGGCTGTGTTTAGTAGTTAGAAAACTGTTACGAAATTTTCCTACCATTGACATTTAATGACAAAAATTTAACTAAGTCCATAAACAGGAAGTGGAATGCAAATGAATTAATAAATGAATAAATAAATGAATAACTAGAACTCCGCGAGTCGGAATGGTCCGCCTTTGTGAACAAATATAGTTTAGGAAAATGCCGTCAGGAAAAAAATGAAATAATTGACCAAACTTTAACACCAGGGTTAAAAACCTCAAAAATATATTAAGTGCAGAGCAACAGTTTCTAGTTATGGCACTTCTTATCAAATCTATGTCCATTATACTGAAGTTTTCGCAAAGGGTCAAATATCTTTTTATAAGTTATGAGAAATAGCCTGGACCCAAAAAAAAGGTTATGAAAAAATTTAATAAAAGGGTTAATAACTCAACAAATAAAAGAAGTTCAGAGGTACCGGGTTTCTTAAAAGAACTTGACTTTTTTCTTAATGGACCTATCATCCTTCCATGAAGTTTCATTGTCCATAGCTTTCCATACTTGGGGAAAATGACGCCGGGACCCAAAAGTATGAAAAATTAAAAAGGGGAAATAACCCAAAAAAATAAGATAGCAGCAGTTACATTGGTTCTTGTTGCACCCACTTCATTAATGAGATCCCATCATCCTTGAAGTTTCAATTCCCCTAGCTTTTTATACCCTTTAGGGGGGAAATGGGGCCCGGGCCCAAAAAAAAGTATAAAATTAACAAAGGGAAAAAACTCAAAAATAAGAAAATGCAAGTTAAACCCCCCTTTTTATGACTGCACTTCTTTCCCGAATTGGGGATCTATTTATGCCCATGAAGGTTTTTTAAGACCCATACTTTTAAAACTTTAAAAAATGGCCCCGGACAAAAATAAATATTTAAAAAATTTAAAAAAGGGGAATAACTTTAAAAAAATAAAAAATGCCAAATACGCCGGTTTTTTTGGCACTCACCCAATAAACATATCCCCATCCTGCACTCACTTTTTTCAAAAATCATCACCAGGGAAGTTTAAGTCCATAGCCTCTTTATAGTTGAAGAGAAAATTTGGCCCGGACAAAATTAAAAGTATCAAAATTAAAACAAAAAGGGCAATAACTCTCAAAAATGTAAAGAAAGTTGCAAGGAGTACCGGTTCATTTGCCTGCACTTCGGGGTTATTTTTAAAAGAAGCTTGCATTCCAAGTATTGAAGTTCAATCGCAGACCTTAAAGTGACTGAGTTTTATGCTCCGGACAAGCTTTAGGGGGCCGCCGACAAGCGCCGGGCCGACCAAAAGTAATCCCTATATGTCGCCTTTTTTTAAGCCGCAACAAAAAATGAATTGAATTAATGAATTATTCAGCCACCCATTCAGATAGATCGTTTTACTTTACAAGACATGATTACTACAATGTATTTAACCATACATGTTTCTTGGAAATAGTAAAATTCAAACTATTCGTACTCTAAAGAGTTGG